TAACAAATTATTTACTTAGATTTTTTTTATTGCAGGAATTCAGGTTTTTTTTTTGCAAAGGTTTGTTTAGAGTGTCTCATATACAAACGACTTATAAAATAATATTGCCTTTTTCTATTTAATTAAACCTTATGTACGCATTAGGGTACATGTTCCTCAGGGAAGCATTCTTGGCCCACTTATTTTTTTTACAATATACACTGCACTTATTCTTTTATATGTTAAAATTTCAACAAATTACTTCACTGATGATTCTTGCAACTAGAGACAATCTTACGTATAGAAGAGGTTCTAAAAAGAAACACGTTGTTAGCCATAGACTATTCCCATGAAGCATCTTTTAGAGCTCCCCCTTGTACTAGCGATAGTTTGAAGTTGTCTACCTTTCAAGAAGCCGTTAAATGACGGTTACGTAGTGCGGTAAGATAGATAAATAAATATAATAAAGACCTTCTCTTTGATCGAGACTTGAGTTGACCCGAAACCGTTGTACTCCATCGTGGAAGGTAGACCAATCTTTAAACCAATCTTTTACGTTTAACTTTGGCTATGTAACAGGCGCTACGTCTGTCGTTGGGCAAAGCATCACCAGGCGACTTAAAACCACGCTTTTAAAAAAAGATAATAAATAATTTTTTATTGTATATAATGTTTATCTTATTTACTGTTTCATCAACGAAAAAAACCATGTTACCTCATCCGACAAGTGGGCTCTGGGAAAGATTAAATTGAACTGATTTTCTTTATTTTGAATCTAAAGACTGTAAAATAATTATACTCTATAAAGCTAAACGACAAGTTATTAATGTAATGTTTACGTTTTAAGTCACCTATTAAGCTTTAAACTTAGTTATTATTAAAAATAAACAAATAAATGCAAGTGCCCGGTTTTATTGTCTTGGGGTGTCTAAAGACTATAAAATTACCTGCCTAAAACCGTCATTCAGGTGTTGAGAATGTTCAACCCTAATGGAAAAACCAGGTCACTACTCGGTCCTACAATTACAAATATCAGAAGAGAATGGAAGGAGGAAAACGAGGACCGTCATTTTATCGTGGATCGATAATATTATCGGTTCGACACATCTTTTGTTTTATGTAAAAATGCACAATTCACGCGATATAAATACTTGATATTGCATAGAATTCATGGAAGAAATACAAAATATTTCTGTTCATACATGTTGTATTATGGCAAAAGAGGTTTAAGCTGACAGCTACTGACATTTTTCAAAAATGGCAAAAAGGAGGGAAAATTCAAAAGGTGGGGTTGAGATGGAAAGTTGGTGTCCGAGTGGATCGAGGTCACGATAGCTCAAGTGGTAGAGCAGCGGCGTATCAAGCAGGTTCGTGGGTTCGAACCCCGCTCGTGCCATTGACTTTTTACTCAACTAAAAACCTTAATTAATTGTAATATATTAATTGGTCAAGCGGACCACGAAATTAGTGAATTCAGGGTATTATATGATAATACCATGTCCTGTTAAGAGGCATTTTTTCGCAATATTTTCTATCGGTCAGGTTGCTGGAAAATATTATTTTTAAAATGTGCCGTTCGTTTACACTACAATTCATCGTTCTTCTTTTAAATTTTTTAAACTTTTTGTCTGCTATATTTAAATTTATTTAAGTATTTAATTAGTGAAGTATGATTCTATCGTGATTAACTGACCATGAAGTAATTTGTTTTACGATGAAAAGATTATATGCATTTTGATTGGCAATCAGTTTTGATAAGCTTAGAAATATACTTCTAAACGAATTCATTAATCCGACTAATCTATACTCTCTAAAAGTCAACTATTGATTTAGAGCCCACACGGGCAGAGAAAACCTTCGTGATTTTGTCGACACACTGCTCTTGATCGCGAAAATATTTGGCGATGTAAGCCAGCTTTCGGATTCGCTACTGGAAACGGAATCCGCCCAATAAGTGTTTCTTTCTCTATTTTCAAGACATCCGTGCATATAGACTAACCCGCATGGACATTTCCTCAGTAGTATAGTGGTCAGTATCCCCGCCTGTCACGCGGGAGACCGGGGTTCGATTCCCCGCCGGGGAACCACAAATTTATAAACTCCAAGAAATTCAAAATAACGAAATAAAATAAAATAACTGAACTTATAATTTTTTGTTAAAAAAACAACTCATCAAATAAAAATAGATCAAATAATAATAAACGTTTTGAAATAAAACACAAATTATTTTGAAAATGACCAAAGCGATCACTTCCAATATTCGTTGATGCAGGAGCAGGAGACGCGCCTCAATAATCTTTTTTTTTTGTGTTTGTGTCTTCCTTCCTTAACATCTCTCCCCACCATTTGTCGCTGCGCTCCTGATCCTGACAATCTTTCCCAAATTAAATTTTTATTAGCAGGCATGGTGACATCTGTGCCTTCGATTTGCGATTTATATTCCTCATTCCCCCGTCCTTTTAAAAATTTATTGCTTTCATGTAAAGTGGTTTTGTAATTTTGATATCGACGAGCAGATAGGTACCTGCCGTGCTGTTTTAAAATATTGTGTGCTAATCAATCTGACTTGAAAAAAAATAATAGCTATTTGTGAAAAGATAACGTCCACATTCTTCTGCTGATTCACTCTTCGCCATAATTGTATCACAATTGCTGGCCTTGATTACGAAGTCAAGTCTGATTTGTGCTTTTGGATTTCTACAAATCACTCTGCCATAGGTTCTTACAACTAAATCTTAAAATTACACACTATAAAACTAAAACTGAAAATTACACAACTCGTAACGTTTTCGACATCATGACATGAGTCCTCTTCTGTGTTAATTACATGTGTATCCTTACATTTTTTTGTAGAAATGCATAGATCCTCCCATTAAAAACCTAATGTTTTGACCAAGCATTTGTAGTTTTGAACGTACATTTTATTTTCATGAAATTGGTCAACATATTAGATAGTTTTTCTCTTTTTTTTTATTGTTGCACTCTCATTGATCTTTTCTATTATAATTTCCACATCTGCAATAATATTTACAATCGGTATTGATTTAAACAAGTACATTAGATTAAACTTCGGACCAAAAGATATTTTGTTCGTGAGGATGAGATTTCAGTAGTGTACACGTAGTAATGTGTTGGATAGAACCTAGAAATACTACCTAGTCCTGCCATAATTTCTGTTACAAGAAAAAGCGCCATTAGGGAATAGAGAAACTTGATCATTTGAAAAATAAATTTATTTTAAAAAATCCAATATTTTTTAAGATTGAAATAAAATAATATTACTCGAAATGACCACCTTTTGCCTTCACACAAGCTTTTAGTCTTCGGAGCCAATCATCTATGGCAGTACGCAACACGTCTTGAAGAAATTTCTCAATTGCTTTTAGCAGAGCGGGCTTGAGGCTCTCTAAATTGGCGTGTTTCCTGTGGAAAGCCATAAGCTCAAGTTGGGACCACACTTTGTAGTCCAGAGGATTCAAATCTGGGCTTCCCGAGGGCCAATCTGAAGCCTTAATGAATTCCGGAACATTCTCCTCCAGCCACTGCGAAGTTGTTCGGGCCTTGTGCGCAGGAGCTGAGTCCTGTTGGAAGACCCAGTGAGTTCCGGAAAAAAGAGTAGTACTTAAGGGCTTTACTACTTTCTCAAGGATGTCTGCTTGGTAATTTTTCACCCTCGTTTTGACTCCTTGCTCACAAAAATGGAGTTTTTGGATGATGGCCTCTTTCTACCCTTCCGATTTTTTCCTGAGCTTTTAGAGAACTTCTAGCATAAACCTTGTCATTTTGACGGTTAAATTTTTCCTCGATGGTAAAAATTTTTTCATCGGTAAACAAGATGTTTCGATGAACTCTATCGGCGTACCGGGTCAACAATGCCTTGGCTCTTTCGACTCTATTTTTTTTTTAAAGATACTGTAAGCCTTTGTCCTGTCATTCTACGGTAAGCCCTCATCAAAAGATCGTCTTTTATGATGCGCGACATTGATCGGGAAGAAATCCCCATTTCTCTGGACAATATTGTTTGTTTTCGTAGCGGATTTCTTCGAATTCGGTTTTCAACCGCTTTGATGGCATTTTTCGTCCTCACAGAGCGAGGACGGCCGGACCTTGGTTTGTCTTTAATAGATAGAGTATCTTTGAAGCGATTTATGGTGCGCCACACAAACATTCGATTTATTCCTAACGATTTCAGCGTCTTGAAAATCTCTGATTTTGATTTACCTGCCTTGTGCAGTGCGATGATGGCATGACGGTTTTGTTCAAGGGTGCGTTCCATCTTGACGTTATTAATTCTCAATAACAACTGAGTAAAAGAATTTAGCATTATATCAAAGATAAACAATAGGCAAGAGAGCAAGGTTCGACAGGCGTTTGTTTGGCATTATTTTCAAGGTGAATGATTATAACAGAACTTATGGCAGGACTAGGTATAACCATCCCTAAAAGAATATCAAGAAATTGTTGAAAGGTTTCTTAGCACGATTACATAATCCAAAACGAAAAATTATAAGAATGGCCTCTTAAAGTATTACTCTTTGTGGTGGGATCTCCTTCAGTAGTATCAGTTGAGGTACCCCTCTGGCAGGCGTAAGGGTGCAAGTAGTGTTCTTTCATGGGAAACAACAAAAGATGCAAAATAATTGGAATCCTCTTCCAGGCCATCCAGAAAAGAAAAAATCGAGTTGGTACATCCCGGCCGTTTCCTTCTTGAAAAAACCCTTAAACCTATAATGCCAAATCCGTACATTTCTTATCACTTTCTTCCATATCATGATTTATTGCCCGTTATAAACATTTTCCGAATCCACAATTACCTCCACTCGATGCTAAATAATAAATCATCATTAATAAAAATTTTTTAACTTCTTGACAGAAATTCAACATATAGAGAAAAGTTAGCATCATATCCGCTTTATTGTACTAGTGCTGACACGCCCCCTAAAGCCCTGCGCGCATTAAAATGTTTAATTTTTTTACCGCCTTTCCAGTGGTTTGTGGGGGCTCGCAAAAATAAGTAAAGAACATTTTATTAATGTTTTATTATTATCCATGTCCTATCAGATTTCACAGTCCTCATCATAACAAATGTCTATGGCCTCTTCCTGCGTTTGGGTACGACCTCGCACACGAAATTAGCACATGCCACACAATTTTTATCTTTATCAAAACCAATAATCTTAGCCTTGTACTTTCCATATGGAAGCGACGGTATGTGCTGGCTCTCTTGGCGAAAATTCAAGTTGGTTAAAGTGTAAAAACCCTGTAAAATTTTACACTTAGCTTCCCAATCCTAACAGGATTTGTTTGGATATTATTTGTACTCACAGGGGGTGCGGGACAAGTTTGGTTTAGACGCATAGTGATTTCCTCATCGAATTTCGGCAAAAACTTTCTCATTCCAGAGCAGAATTTTCCCATTTCGAAAGTGTAAAAATTCGGCTTCCAACCGCCATTTCCCCAGACAGAAACATCAGCTCTGGCCTGCTCATTTTATATAGTAATCGTTCATCATTCACTTAATATGTTTACATACCCATATGTCATCGTCAATAGGTATTGTGGCATTCATTGAACCCGTGTAGACGTAAGTTGACCTATCAAGCTTTCTTATTTTATAATTGCTGAAGACAATAATTGGATTTTCGCACTCAGAAACACTGCATTTTTCCAATGCTAAAGGTATAATATAGTAGGAGCCCTAGAAAATAATTAATGTTAATTTAAATTTTCAAGACAAGAACATAAATTAACGACTTATTGACAGCGAATGCAGCAAAGGTTGTACAGCTCCAAAAGGAAAACAGAGTCACGTAAAGTGCTTCTTTAATCATGATTTCGCACTATAATATAAAAAATATTACGTGAGACTGAAAACTGGACACCCGCAACTGTCCATTTATACGTTAGTGGCAATACTATCACTTCGATGTATCTGTTTTATTAACAGCGTCCGGTTCACGCGATACAAATATCCACCATAAAAGAATATTATATACTAATATCGCGCAGACTTTCAAAAATATTAATTCTCAACTTATTATTATTTTTTGTTACATGCAATTTCGGTTGTTGGAAAAATTGCATCAAAGCGGGCAAATATGGCAGTATAAAACTACACAATGTCACGTAGGTCTGATTTACAAAGATATTTCACAATAGAAACTTAATGGAGAAATTAAGAAAGCCCGACAACCAAAGGGATTCGGTTTATTTTGCTACAATCTGCGCTTATGGTACTTAGTAAAGGTGAACTGCAACACCGAGAGGCAAAAAAGTGCTCATCCTTAATATTTTAAATTGTCAGACATTCCTTCAATGATTATCATACAACAATATATGACCCGTTTTATGGGATTATAGGGGAAAAAACACAGATAAAATCTCCTACATTTGATTGCAATTGGATTTTGTAAAAAAATTTTCGAATAGTCTATCAATCATCTCTTCTTTGTTGGTTTTTCAGTAAAGTTTCTAATGTTCAGGTTGTTTGATTTTTTAAGTTGTGCCATTTTTTAGTTTCAAATTTGTTTGAGCGATGTTTGAAGAGAAACAGATTCTTCTAGAATTGTAAGATGGAAAAAGTCAAGCGTATCAAGTATTTGGCCAGGGTGCTTAACAATTTTCAACTGTCCGAAGGGTCTTCCATCGCTACCAACGTACTCGAGGTTACTCTAGAAGGCAGCACTCAGGTCGCCATTGTGTCACATCTCAGAGAGATGATTGTATTATTGTTCCGAATTACATTCATACGTAATCGGTGCTCTACCACTGTCGAGATCAAGCAACGACTTAGGCAAGTTAGAAATGTCAAGGTCAGTTTACACACTGCAAGGAGAAAACTTTCAGAAGCTGGATTACGTGCGAAAAAGCCTGCCACTTGTCCAGCACTTCTTTCGTGGCAAAACAGAACAGCTCGGTTTTGCAAAATAAATCACATTAATTGATCTAAACAAGATTGGGCTAAAATCTTGTCTTCGGGCGTGTCAGGGTTTTTTTGAGGGCTTGTGACCGCCGAGAGCGGGTTTGGAGAAGAACAGGAGAGCGATATATACCCACAACATTTTCACTTCTGAGAAGCAATACAGGTGATGTTATGATTTGGGCAGGCTTTTCTATGGAAGGTCGCAGAAACTTGATCGAAGCTCCTCTAACTTCTGCGCGATGCATTAAAGATGTGTTATCACAATTTGTTCCTTACATGCCATTAATTAGCGACGGTTTTATTTTTATGCATGACAATGCAAGACCGCACACAGCTAGGATTGTTGGTGACTGGTTGGAATGGGCTTCGATTCAATGTTCAACCCTATCGACCACCTCTGGGACGAGATGTCAAAGAGGGTAAAAGATGCCCAGTGGCCACCAGAGAATTTGCAGGAATGGCGGTATTAGAGGTGTATGAAAATATTCCACAGCCCTATGTTCAAAACCTCATAAAATCGATGCACGGAAAATGCAAGTTGTGATCAGCGTAAGAGGAGAAAATATTCCGTACTGAATTGGATATTTTCTTCGCTGTTTCCATAGCAACATTTTTGTTAATATTGTTTTACACAGTTTTCACTAATTTCGTGGTTCGCTTGACCAATTAATATATTATAATTAATTAAGGTTTTTAGTTGAGATAAAAAAGTCAATGGCACGAGCGGAATGCGAACCCACGATCTTCGGCCGCTGCTCTACCACTTTAGCTATCGTGACCTCGATCCCCGACCTCGAGAAGTTGGTGGCCGAGTTGTAGAGCAGCGGCGTATCAAGCCGAAGGTCGTGGGTTCGAATCCCGCTCGTACCATTGACTTTTTTATTTCAACTAAAAACCTTAATTAATTATAATATACTAATTGGTCAAGCGGACCACGAAATTAGTAAATTTAATGAATTTAAATGAAGTATACTTCACTAAAGCTCTCCGTGGCCATTTCATTTGTCGACGAGAATCCAATCCGATTACACGACATTTGAAAAATGGCAAAAAGGAGGGAAAGTTCGAAAGGTGGGGTTGAGATGGGATGTTGGTGTCCGAGTGGATCGAGGTCACAATAGCTCAAGTGGTAGAGCAGCGGCGTATCAAGCCGGATCGTGGGTTCGAATCTCGCTCGTGCGATTGACTTTTTTATCTCAACTAAAAACCTTAATTAATTATAGTTTTACACAGTTTTATTTGTTTATTTAGTATGTTATATTTAGCTACATTATATTTTTTAAATACACAATAAACAACAAAAAATAAAAATTATATATAATAATTAGGGTAGTCTCAGTGTAGTATCCGCACTTGTATAGTGAAGAATAGAATAGTGATTGCTGAATCCAAATTGATGTTTTGGCAAAATATTAAACGAATGAAATATTGGATGCATATTTTTGTAGGTTGTTGATGAATTTTCCAATAATTTTGTAAAAAAAACTAATAAAATAGTAGAGATTTGGAAATTGGTGGGTTTAAGGGGGATGACATTCATGTCTGATTTGCGTTTTTGTATCTTGACAAATGGCTCTTTCAACAGTATTATCCATTACCTAATGACAAGACCAAACATTCTCTGTTTCGTAGGTACAAACAGTTTGTCAGGTTGTGCTTCGTTTAGTGGAGATGACTTATAAGGTTGTTGCTTATTGGCGACTCTATTATAAAATGAAGTATATATAGTTAATTTAAATAATTAATAGATTAATTATGACTACTCAATATATACGGATATGTATAGATATTTTACATAGAAAAAACAAAACAAAAATTTATGAAAATGTTATTTCAACGAAGAATGACAATGAAAACAGGATATCCGCACAGCCTTTTTGTCCTTTTCTGGCAATATTATCATTTAGATATATCACTTATTTTATTAACAATGCCAGATTCAATTATTGGCCATGTAGGGCTAATGATATTACATGTTACTATTTTATAGGTTTTCAAAAGATAAATTTTCATAGACGATAGTTTATTTATACGGTCGGGAAAGGCGATTATCTCCAAAAATATCTTTCAACTAATTAATTCTTTTCACCCTACTATAAATTTTACATTAGAAATGAATAAAGAAGGTTGTTTAAACTGTATTTGTCGATTTGCACGTTTAACAAAAATATTTTCAGTTTTCGTTTTAACTGATGGTTTAAATTTTTGGAATACTGTTTGTTTGTTGGTCTTGTCTTTGGCTACATGGTGCCTGCTCGGACGTTTAGCCGTCATTTGCTGTGTTTCGTAGAATGAGTCGGTATAAATGTTTATTGCCCCTTATTAGTCCATTATTGGAGGGTTGTGGTGAATTTATTATTGGCCGCATCTAGTTCGTGTGTTTTCAGTGATAGTTTTATGTTGGGCTGATCGGTCAGGTAGATGTGGCAAAGAAAATAAAAACTGCGTTTTATGGGTGCCTACTTTTCGTTAAGTTTATTGACATTTGGGGGGCAGGCGAAAGGCAGAATGACAACATTCAGAGCCTATTATAATTATACAATTAAATTTAAATTTTATTTTGGTTGGACGTATTCCTCGATAATTTCTTGGACATAGCGGACTGCGATGAGGTTGCCTTCAATAATTTGGAGTCCTGTTCGCCCTCCAGTGTAAATCCCAGCCCAGACCATTACACCGCCTCCTCCAAACCGCACTGAAGGGAGCACGAACTGAGGGATTGCACGTATCACCTGTTCTCGGTACACTTTCCGGCGCCTGCTATCACTATACAGACAGAAACGCGACTCATCAGTAAACATAACTGCATACCAATTGGTGTTCTCTTCTAGGTGCTCGTTGCACCATATTCTCCTGAGATGCTGCAGCTTGTCTCAAGGAGCATACGATGTGACGCCAACTTTAGGATCTGACGGGCAATACGGAAAGAGTTCCGTCTTGCAGAGGATATTTCTGTCCACCTAAAGCTAGAGCTAAAGCCCGGGAGACCACTCTCTGAGAAAAGCCAACTGACTCTGCGTTATCCACTCGCCGGTCACTTCGATGACTCATTTTCACAATTAGAGTAACGATGTTTTTTATTTTGACCTCAACAGTTTAACTTCTGATTTTTCCTTCTCGGAGGTGGGATAATAGATCGTCTCAAAAAAACAACAACCAACTTTTTGCAATCCACAACGTTTCGGATTTATTTTAATCCTTCCTCAAGTGAGTTAGCGCCTATACACAGAACAAAGATTTCTTACATTTTCAGATAAACATGGTTATCATTGTTTCTTTACTACTTACAGTGGTTAAAACAGTGGTCGTCAGTCATTAATATTTTGTAATAGCTTATTTTAAAAGAAGCCAGTGTGATACATTTTTAAGTCCTTCAGACTCCCAAAAACGTTTTAATATTTTGATCTTGACTAGACTTATCACAATCTATCATATGAGGTTTCAATCTCTTATCAACATCTTGTCACAGACGAACGAATTAACATTAAAAACCACTCAACAATTGAAGTTACATATTTATCAAAAATTCACGTTTTTAAACAATTTTAAACAATTAATATCTCAATTATCACAGATCTTAAGGTTCCTCCAAAGTTTAAAATTAACTAGCTTATTTCTATACATTATTTGACAAATAAAAATGACTTATCATATCACACTCTTGACGGTAATTGACAGACAGTTTATTTTTTTTTATGCAAAGGGCCTTCAGGAACTTTCGTTTTTTACTATTTCGTTCTTTCGTAACAATACTCATATCATCAAATAAAAATGTATGCTTTTCAACAATTGCATGCTTTGCCAAGGCAGTTTCCTCACTTTTACCATTTTGAACTGCATATTTATGTTGATAGATTCTACTCTTCCGGTACTGTCTGGTTTCACTATAACATACTTTATTGCAGTCTTTGCACTCAATTTTGTATATCAGGCCTGATTG